TTATATATATATATATATATATATATATATTATATATATATATAGAGAGAATTATATATATATATATGTATATATATATATCACCATATACAGCATGTATACCTACTCGGGCTACTGTATAGGTAGACTGTCCAGTAATTTATATACTCTATCAACCCACAGGCCCCTAGCCTATAACTAACCCTAATGAGTACATGATCATACATATTCAAGATTAGGAACGCGTTAACCCAACATGAAAAACATACTGGCTACAATGCAAAGACTAATATAAGTAAGTATTTGTTTCAGATTAGCTCCATTGGCATTGCCCTCCAAGAAATGGTAATAACTAATATATTGAAAATGTGTATTGATATTAATCTCGCAGCCTGGTCAAGCTTGTTTCGCATTAGCTGTTGATTTGAAATATACTTATACAAAGAAGATACATTAGGGCAACTGATTACTGAATCTGCTAATAATAAAAAAACATACCATACGAGCTAGGTTGTCTCAACGTAGTCTGATTCATTCATCAAAATGATATCGACATGCACGTGCGTACTTGGAAGGTCTCAGAGTAGTTATTTTCTCATCGTCTCACAGCTCTAATCCAGGCACGTCGCTACTTAAAACGTACAGGGAAAGCATGTCCTTCCCCTCTTCCCACAATGTAGTACACAATATTCGGTTGGCATTGTCCCAGGTAAAAACAACATCGAGTTGAAGAACAGAAGTTACAGAACACGGTACGTACAGTACGGTTTTCACTTGTAAACACCGCGCAGCAGTTGTTGCGGAGGACCGAGTTGCTTATCAGCGCCCCCTATATGCCTATTGTTTTCAAATGTACCTCATTGATGTCACATGCCCAAATTTGGTACTCTTACTAGCTGCGTTGTAGAGACTTAATTAAAAAAACATTGCCGGCTCCATCATGACGGGCATTAGCCGTGCTAGGAAAGATAATGGGAGATAAGGGCATAGGCGATGCCCCCGAAAGTCATTCATAAAATTATGGCGGAAAAACCGAACTCTCACGAAGCAACGCTTAGCCGCGTGAAGGATGGGGACAGAAGTGGATTCGAGGCGGCGTTTGGCATGTGGGAGGGGAGGTTTAGGAGCCGATATCTCCGCCTAGGAGTATCGTATTGACAAGCGGTTGGTCTTGTTTTAGAGAGCAAAGAATTCTGCTTAATGCAATACCATGAAATTATTATAGACTCGCAGGCAAAGTCGAATAATGTTGTCGTGAAATAGCACTATTTTCCCGTTTTTCCGTTGTACACTCTAGGTATTATTAGCTCTTGATATATATGCATATGTCACAAATCCTGCCTGTGGTGAATTATTAAGATCTTTCAAAATATATGTGCTGACATAGAGGTAAAGGTAGTACTGGAAATAAAGGAAGGTTTGACACCCATACTGGGTGCCTTTTTCTTGCTATATTTAATATGAATCTTAGCAGGTATTAACTCGGTGACTCAAAACCCATGTTCTCTGTTGTAGGCCACATGTTCATGCTGCCATTGCAATGGCATGCATGCTAATCGTCTAACCTCCTAAGGTCGCATACTGCACGTGTTGAATAGCAGTAAGCCTCTCACATTACTCTTCTCCTCAGGACGAAGATCGCTGCGTGACCTTGTTCAGAGCCACGCTGGAGACGAAGGGCGAGTCGTGGGCGTACGTTGGCCGCCAGAGGGCGCACTACAAACGCGTCTGCCAGATCATGTTTGGCGTGAAGCCAGATTCGAAGTTTCCGCGTCTGATTTCTCTCGGAGAAGACAGGGTTCTGGTGAGCGACAGTGCGCGTTTTTCCTGCTCACAAGCGCTACGGCCCGGCGTATATACGTATGGCAGGAGCCGCACTGCATGATAGTTTTTAACATGCACGTGACAGGGTCATATCGTGGTGAAGGAACAATAAAAGGCAGTTGTGGCCACACGCAAAACGTGTTCAACCCCATAATTATTTCATTTGTGACAGATATTAGGCTGCAAGGTTGTCCAGCTAGTCGGTAATGTCGATACCAAGACATGCCAGTAGATCGCCGACAATGGATAAGTACATGGAGGCGTTTTGTTGGATGTCTGCAGGTTGAATACGACTTGGAGAAGAGCACGGAGAATGATCTACACTTGCAGAGCAGCGAGAGGTTGGAGCAAACCGCTGTGCCAACGTGTATGGCGTGGTACCCGTCACTCACCAGCGAAGACTTCATTCTCACCGCAAACAACCAGGTCCTAGAAAGCTGAAATCCTTCGTGAAGCTGAAACTGGCTGTACTCATCGCTATGTCACATTTGTGTCCGTGTGCACTATGAGTGTGATTATGTTTATTATATAAAATCTGAATACAGGCTTCTGGTATGCATGATTAACACACTTCAGTTATTGCTTTTTACACAACATATTTGGTACGTTAATGTACCATACAGTTACTCACATTTACTTGTGATTTCCATGTGTAAAATAAGTAGAATTCAGTAGAAATATTGTTTCTACATCAATGTACGATACAGACCGATCAGTATTTCGCATGCTGACGCGACGTATATGCAGGCTTGTCACTCGTAGGCTCTCCTTTACCCGTCACAGTTCAAGATGAAACTATACAACACAACGACCAAGATGTGCAGAAAGACAGTGCTTGGTCCAAGCTATGGAACTCCCTTGCAATGGTAGTCTAACACGTCTGAACATGTGCTGCATAGGCTAGTCGTATTATTCACACCGGGGTCATCCCTATAGACTGAAGGTCCGATGGACCGAATATTGCATGGTAATAACACAGTAATCTTGCGACACGTACACACATTTTACGATATCCTGTTACGAGTGTCAAGAGAAACTGCGCGTGATTCGTCGCACACACGGGGGTGTGTAAGGGATATTAGAAGCTTCGTTTATTATGGCCGCATCCTGCAGTGAGAACCACTATACATAGTTGTCATTTTATTAGTATGTTTACGTGTTTCGTTGCTATTGTATGATTGGGTTAAATAACTTATTACTTTCTCGCATACACGTGACTGCCACGGTAAGTAGGGCTCAACCTAAATCACAATCCCTAAATCCCATTCGGCCCTGAAATACCTTGCCGACGTGATGTAAACAGAATGGCAGAGTAGCACCGCAGTAGCGCTGGGTCCAAGTATTATTACGCGGTAAGAATATTTGTCTCTCTTTGCATTTGACTGATCTTAATAATAATAGCTATTGGTCCCTACAATTAACTTATATTAGGAGCGACGGCCTATAAACTTACGTACTACGTAAGTAGAGTATAACTACGTAACATAACATAACATAACTCATAACATAAGTACTGACTACTGCATGGGCTACTAAAGTCTAAAGACTATAAGTAAAGTATAGCTTCTATCTGCCAAAGACCTCGATTGTAACATTCTTATATGTTTCTGATTTTGCTGACATCTATTTAACTGTAAAACCATTGTAACGTACCGGTACTCAGGCCACTTACTCACTGGTAGTGCTACAGGACATTGACGTTGCTTGGGAGCAGACATGGCTGATGAGGCCGGAATACCACCTCTGCGGAAACACAATGTTTCTCCTGAACCCCCTGAGGCCAGATTAACTGACACGCACACTCCATTGACTGAGCCTAAAAGCGAGGCTATATCAAGTACAGTTAGTGGCGAATCTGAGTTCCAGCAAGATCCTGCTGTGTCGATCAATTTACAGCCATCGCCTCCGACACCTCCACCACCACCCCGATCTTCAGATAAAAACTCGGACAACAAAGAATCAATTAAAACTCATGCTCTGGTAAATAAAAATACGTTTTCGTGGTTAGTAACTCATCACATCAGTTTTATTCCAGTGACACAAAGTCAACATACTTCATGACCTAATTGTATTTTAGGAGTGTAATAATGGTTAATCTTATGTCAATTTGTTTCAGAATTTGAAGTGGGCCCTTGGATTGAATCCTGAATTGCCAGTTCTTAGTCTTAGTACAACTGGAACATCAATGGTGGTGTATGCTACTTCTCACACCGCCATACTATATGACAGCAAGAACCATATTCAGCAACTTCTTCAGGGGCATGTGAGTATAGGATTATTCATTGTGCTGTACAGCAGATGTTCATTGGGCCAACATTGGTATCTGCAGCAGTAAGCCATTGAACCTTGGCCCAACGACTGCATGCTATCTGGGGCTAGTGTTGCTATAATTTCTGTCAGTTTTATTATTATTCCTTGCCTAACAAAGTCTGTAACAGGAGTAATCTTGCAGGCTATATGTTATTAGCATTACAAATCATATGAAGTAATTAAGGTGCCCATAGATATAGTGAATTTGTTGCATGAATAAATAGTATTTTCAAATTGTTATGTGAGGTAATGTGTACACGAGTAGGTATAACTTATACATCCGCTGGTCTCTTGCAGAGAAACACGTTGACATGCCTTTGTGTCAGCCTGGATAAGCGCTGGGTGGTGACCGCAGACAGTGGATATGATAGTCTCATTACTGTGTGGGACTCTTACACTGGGTATGATGTACTTGAAGCTTCTCATGTAGCACAGTTTCTCTTGTCTATGTTATAGATTTTATTTAGATATGTGCAAAAATAAATAGAATTAGTAATCATGCCATCAGGAATGAATGAAAACAAACAATGCTTGATGCTCTCGTGTAGTAACTACACACCTGTGTAGAGTAATGTGGTTCCAGCGTTCCAGTGAAGACCTTGTTTGATCCACATGGTGGAGTCGGTGTTGCTTCCATTGCCTTGTCTCCGGATAGCAAGTACTTAGCATCTCTAAGTGCCAGCATTCCTCAGGTAATGTTCTGTGTATGTGGCGAGTTGTAACATCCTTGCGTATTGCCACAAAAATCACCCAACTCTCTACTCACGATGTGTGTCGGTTAAATATTTTTGAAATTTGGGACGTAGACAGTATAGCATCTATTCATATAGCTAGATTGATAGATTCATAGCAGATATATTTTGTTTCAAATAGAGCATTGCAATCTGGGATTGGTCCACCGAAGACAATGTTCCTTCGAGTCTACTTGAACTAGACACTAGCTACGGACATCAGGTATGTTCTGCGAAAGAATTTTTCTACCTCAATACTGTCTCAGGTGAGGACACCCTAGACAGGGTTAAGTGGAAGAATGTTCTAAGAACCACCACGCAACGTCCAACCTGCTAGCATGTGGAACGTGGACGTTAAACGGATATGATGATGATGATGAATACACAAAATATTACTCAATTACTTACCTATTAAAGGCTCACAAATGGCATCAAACGCTAATTTCTCCAGTACCTAGACTAGAATACCTCGTGTCATGATAATCACACTACTTATTGACAAAATAAACTCTAAGTTGCTCCCATCTTCACTGCGACGTTTTGCTTAAAACCGCAAAGAAGAGGTGAGAAAACTGGCATTCTGGCGCAACGCCGACTGTTTGCCCAACAAAATGAACTCGAAGTGGTGAGCGTGACGTCACATTTTTATCTTTGGCTGCGGCCCGTGGCCGCTTGTACCGCCAGTACGCTGGCACGTTGCTTGGGGATTGGAACTGGCAACAACAATCGGGAAGATTTCAACAACATTGGAGGTATTTCAACAATACCTTTTATAAGACAACGCGCCAGTGAAATGGAGGAACTAGAGTTTATTTTGCCATAAGGTAGCTGATGATTATTGCCATGACACGAAGTAATTTGTAGTCTAGTACTGCGAGAAAATTAGCGTTGCGTGGCATTTGAGCCTTTAAGAATTGAATATTTAAGCCAAGTATGTTTTGAATCCTATCCTGCCTAAGATCATATGATGGGAACATTTAATTTCAGTCGTTCATGCTGTTCCATCATTGGATAATTTCCAGCTGTTGACCACAGTGACGCGCATGTTTGTCTTCTACACTTGGTATGTCTGCTAAGTGATCACAATAATGTCGACTCTTTGAGAGCTTTTATTTCAATAACAAAGGCTAGAGAATTCATATTGGCATGTCCATTAAAAATTACAAGATGCGAATTGCGGCATGCCATTTAGAAACAAGCATAGCGAAACTAGAAGTGCTTGAGCGGTTCTCGGTGCATTTCAAGTCCTGGCTCGGATCTCGCAGCACGACGCAGTGAGCTAACCGATAAGAGTTCAACAAACCAATTGGAATACAGCCAGTTCTGTATTTCAGCGCCAGAATCTAACGCTAGCACTGACTGCGACCTCTTTATGCAATCTTGTCATTTTGGAGTCGGGACACCAGCGTAAGGGGCTTGCCACATAATGCACTTATCATCACAAATATATGGGAGCAGGTTTAAAATACATATATTGGTTTGAGCTCGCCTAAACATGTTTATCTGCCGATATATATCATATTAGACAGTGTATTAATTCTATAAATTATACATATAATATGTATCCAGTCGGCTACTTTTCAAATATTGTTGTCAGGCATTGTAAGCAATCACAGGTGTAATGTAAATATGAATGCGGATGTAAAAACATTAATCACAATCTTTTGCAGAAGTCTTGACTGGAACCAACAAAACTGGTCAGTTTTACAGAAGAGCTCATTACCGTTGCTGACAATGTACGGTTCATCATATCGCTGACTGGTGACAGTGAAGGCAAGTCAAGTTTTATGATGACACACACAAGCTGCTTAACTGGTAATAATTGTGGAGTAAGGAGAGGGAGAGAGGAGAGACGGAGGGAGACGTGAGAGAGGGAGGGAGAGAGAGGAAGACGGGTAAGGGAAGAGGAAGAGGAGAGTGATGAATTAGAGCACAAAAGGAGAAAAGAAAAAGAAAAAAGAACAAGCCGAGAGAGAGAGAGAGAGAGGTTGGAAATTTTGTATGCTACTTGTATTTGTTCTAATCGAGAGCCGTCCGAGCTGACTAACATTTATCTCTCACTATATTCTTGTGTGGGTTTCATGCATAAATGTAATGGCATTTATGGGGTTCACGGCAGCGTATCAGGACCTCAAATATCGGCCCAATTGCTGGGATATCTTATCTCTGGTGTTGGATTTACAAGAGCAGAAAGTAAAATGCCTTCATTAAAACTAGATGACTAGGCAATTAATGTTACGCAACAGAGTTTTAGAAGCTCTTACACTAATGTTTTCACTTGGCCAAAATTCCTTTAATAATGAGGCGTGAATGTTTTTTAGGGATGAAGCGGAGGGAAAGAACCAGTGGGGAAGTTCAAAGGATAACCCCTTCTTGTCACGTCGTCTCTGGCTGCGGTAGCCATTGTCAACAGGTGATCGCTCACAAAGTAGAAGTTGTCTGCCAAAGAGTGGACGGTCGCTAGTACAGGCTATCATGCTCACCCAGCCAAAGTAAGATTTAATTGGTTATCGGTGAAAGTCATACGTCTGTTCATCAGTGGTCTTATTCCTATACTGGCTGTTGTATTTCTGGCCTTCACTATAGATGCATTGACATTTATAATATTATATATATCAAGAGTCATAAGTAGAGAAGCAGTATGCCCGTTTAAACGGGAGCGTTTTGCATAGTTTTCAACTTTGTAAATATTCTATGCAATATGTGAATAAAGTATAATTCAACCTTACCTTGTTTTCATCTATGATTCTCCCTTCATCGATATGACACCACCTAATTTACCTCAAAATCGTATTGTTCGTTCAAAAAGTACTTTGAATACGACACGCCGTTTCACACAGTTTTCCAAATGTTCGCATGTATATCGCGCAAGTTTATTATCGGATTAGTGTTCTATTGTCTAGTGACAGAACGCTGGGGCTGTGGGGATATTTAGGCATCGAATATGTATTCAGCGTTTACGTATTTCTAGCCATGCTAGAGTACTAAATGTGTGCTCACGGCGCTATAGGCAGCTGATTTTAGCTGTGTTGCCATCGTGTTCCTGATGATAG